GGTGGCAGCGGGGATGATGACGATAGGTGTCCGTGACCCTGGTTGACAAAGTCATTATGAAAAGGTATTAAAAACAGGTAGAGTCAAATAGAGGCATATATCTGACAGAATGGTCAGCCAGAACAGACATTAGATAAATACTCTATATTGTACTTTTATATGACTAAGGGAAAGTACTGTACCTTTTTTCTGATTTGGTGGAGGTCTGGCTTGTGAAACTACAGAGAAATAAAGACAGTGGGGGGGGGGGGGGGGGGGACTGATGTACACATTACATTTCACAAAGCAGGCAAAATAGTGATACAAATGATCATCATTGAAACGGCTCTGGTGTTTGCCCAAATGAAATGATTGGCTGCTAATTGTCTGGCCTACCTACCTACCTGCAAGGTTGCCTACCCCAGCTTTAAGTATCAACTACTTTTAAATAGGGATGTAACAAGACACTTAGCTCACAATACGAAACACAATATTCACAACATTTTAAATACCATTTTCAAGAAATCTTTTACGCTGAATTATATGAAAATTTTAAGCATTAAACTGTAAATTTCCTGCATTCTGGTGAATTTATCTATGGTCTATGGTTTTCCCCTGTGACAGAAATTTGATTGTGGCATAACAGCATGTGGAAAATGTTAATTGAGCTTGAGCTTTTAACCTGATGAGAAATCTCGTAATGTTTTGATCTCATCACAGCCCTACTTTTAAATTAGCCCTATTGGGCTGAAGGGCTCCACTAACTACTAAAGTGCAATTTCAAAATATTAAACTGTTATGCTGGAGGCTTAACTGAACAATTCCTCACAAATTATTTACTGCAGGTAACTCCTCTAAAACACTAAAACAAAATCAAAAGACACACAAGAGCTCTAGGCTGCATGGTGTTAATGCCTGCATTCCGCCTTTTTTTTTAACCTTCTTCTATTAATCTATAGGACTGCGGTAGGACTAATGTGTCATAGTCAACCAGTCATGCCGTCACTCACAACAAACAGACTCTGCTGCTCTGGTCACCCTCTCACATATTTGCCAAAAATCTACAGGGTCCTTTTTTTTGTTGAGGAGTGAAATACACGTGATTCTGCTAACCGAACAAAAGTCCCTTTCAGTTTCATTCAGGAATCATGTGAATATGTTCTATGGTATTCCAGACAGTTTTTGCTCAAGGCCAAGTGAATTTCCTTTTTGTCTTTCTCTGCGGGTGATCAAAAGCTTGCCAAAAATATCAAGGGTAGAAAAACTAAATGCAACTGCTATTTGTTATTTTAACTGTCATTTTGTTTTACATTTAAAGCCTCTATTAAGGTTTTCAAACAAAGCACATTAACACATACACAAAAATCCTCAAGTCAGATTAAATTTGTTTTTTTTGTTAAGTAAAGGCATACTGAGTAGGATTTGTCGGTTGGTGTTTGTAAACAAACACAAACAAAATTCAAAATCCCCCCCCCCCCCCCCTCCCCCCTTCTCACTTCTCACTTCCCACTTCCCCACTCTAATACAGAAAAACTATGAACTCCAATACAGGGCGTTTTCATTACAACTTAGAGGGGATGACAAACATGGAATTTTCAAGGTATGATCAATGTAAAATTTGCTAGCTGGCTAGCATAAACCAACAAAACCCTTCAAAAAGTGTGTGAATTATTTCAAAAGCAGAGTCTGCTTCTATTGAATATATATTTTCAATGACAATTTATTTAGAAATTATTTATTTTTGTGGACAACTTGATGCTTTCCTGAAGATGGAGGGGATGTGGATATTATGACTATTATTACCACTAACCTGGACGAGGGACAGGCTGCAGCGCTGGGGTCTGGGCCTTCCGGGCAGATGCTCCTTCCTGGAAAACACAACACACCAGGGTTAAATTCCTAAACATGCTGTGTCTAAATGTTACCATTTATGTTGTTGAGCATGTGAACTGAAAAGCCTAACCCACTGAATGGTAATTGTTCTGACAGCTCAACAATGCTCATTAAGACTTTGATGCACTTTCTATTATTAAAAGTAAAAAAAATTTACAGTGTATTTAAAAGCTGTGACAGTTTTTCCACATTAACTATAAAACTCTCCTTGGAAAACATGGTCCTTCGCTGCTATCCGCTCATCCTCTACTCGCTCCAGGTCACAACTCATTCCCCTGTGGAGAAGTAAGAGAGCGTGCACGCGCGTGCGTGCAAGATAGGGGTGTAATGATACACCACCATTCGATTCAGACCTTGATTTCTGAGCCACAGACAGGTGTGTGTGAGAGTGTGGGGAGAAAAGCAGATTCAAGTAAATTAAAACTAAACTAAGGTGAAAAATTACCTTCAATAACCTCCACCGGCCGCAGCCACCGCCAGCACTCTTAATGAGAGCTCAATAGTTCAATGAGCGGGTGTGTTGCGGTTCTGTTTCTCGGATGCGCGACATGAGACCGAGGACTTGTGTTGCGATTTCAGCCTTGGTTTCAGAACCGTTACAGCTTTAACACTAGGGCTCACAGTCTAGCAGCAATCCATTGTCTAGTGACATTCCCACAGGCTGGAGCTCACACTTTGACGGGAGTGATGGAAACATGCAGACTAGAATGCTCAACAGCCCATACCATCCCAGAATTATGAAGTAACAAAAGAACAGTTGTGTCATAAGATGTATTATGACTTTTATTCATTTATGACATACCACTTATTCAACTGATAAATTTATATAAAGGCTGAGAATTGTTCTGAACCCAAAGCAAATATTAAAGCTGTATGCAGCGTTGGGCGGGCCCTCAAACGTTTAGTGCGATGGGGTGTGACGCTGCCTCGGTGCATATTCTGGAGCTCTGCCGGTGCGGCTGTGAATTTGCTACACGGTTCGGACGCTGCATGAAGGTATTATGTGTCACTTCCTGTGTTCCCTTTGTGGCGCTACATAGCACTTGGTGCTATGAATATAAAATCGGTATAGGCGCGTAGATGTGTTCAGGACAGTTATCAAGAAGTTACAGTTTGGTGCAGATGTGAGCATGTACAGTGAAGTTATAACAACTTCCTGTGTCATGGCGAAGAGTTGATCTTGGACGCCACGCCACGGACACGCCCATTGACAAAAACTCACAGTAAGCACAACTTTTCATCGTCAATGCCTTTAGAAGTCACAGCAGAAATTTGAAGTCGATCAGATTAAACGCCTAGGAGGAGTTGGTTAAAGTACGGAGTGTGTAAATCATCCAAAAATGACCATTAAATCCAAAATGGCTGACTTCCTGTTGAGTTTAGGATATGGGTTCTTGAGGCTTTTTTGTGCGTCTGGACATGATACATGTCCCCAGAAAAGTTCGTGCATGTAGGTTGAACGTGGACGAGGAGCTAATTTCTTCCAATTATCTAGGTGGCGTTAGCGAGTCATTTTGGCACGCCCATGCGCGAAACCCATAAAATACGAAATTTTTCACCACTTCTGACATGTGTGCAAAGTTTGGTGATCTTCCCTTGGACTCAAAAAATATGCTCCGACTCAAAAAGGGGGGGGGGGGGGGGGGGGAATCTGGTATCTGTGGCTGTTGCAGGACTGTAATAACCACCTATCTGCCTACCCGTGAGCACTCCGCCTGTGCACTCACTGCACATGAAAACCTGTTACCTTTAAAAGTGTAAAAATGTTTGGGTAGGTTGGGTCAAAGCTGACATCTGCATATTGCCAGCACTTTTACAATATAATAAATGAATTATAATCACCAAGGTCTCTTGATGATTACCGAATGTATTTTCTCCCTTCCCATCCTACTAGCTGCATGGCAGGGTCTATCAGCAGCAGTGCAGGATCAATGTCAGTTACAGATTAAACGCTTGTCTGCAGCTCAGCAGCTGCTTGAGCACGGGGATACTAGACTTTGCATCAAGAGATGCACTGCACCACAGTACAGCTCTACAATTCAGTATTTAATGGGGCTGGAACAATTCTGAAACAGAGACCGAAACAGCGACACACCCGCTCCCTAAACTGTAACAGTGCAACTGTGGCGGCAGCGGCCAGAGGTGGTATCGGTGTATAACGTATTTATATTTCTAGGAAGTTACCATTCTCCACCTTATTTTAATGTTTACTCACTACTTAAATCTGCTTTCTCTTCACTTCCCTTTCCCCCATACACGATCTCTCAATGTAAACACACTGGCTTGCCTCTTTCCGTCTCTCTCTCCCTGTATGTCTGTGCTCTGCTGACTTTCTTATCAGCAGAGCTTGTGTGTTCACGATCGCGCTTGTAAAATGTCCTCCGTGTCTGCATAATAACAGATAACATCTCTCTCCGTTTCACTACAAAATGCTAAAATGGGTTGGCAAATATACTTTGGCAGCTGTTAAAATACCTGGCAGCCATAAAATCAATGCAAAAATTCTGTATATCCAATACTTCTGTACATTAAAGCAGTTCTGCTAGTAAATCCAAAACATGTACAATATTTTCTACTAGACAGTTGTGCTTACTTTTACAGTCCTACAATCATGGATGAAGTAGATATCAGCAATTTAATGGGTTTAATATGCAGTGGTTAGAAAAACTGAGGCAAGGTACTGGGTATTATTATATTTCTATTAGCAGCAAAGTATTGTGAAATATAGTCATAATGTGTCAACACTTTGTCAAGCAGACACAAGTAGATCAGATAAGAGAGCCACCTTTCAGTTTACATGTGAACCACAACCCTCATCATTCCCTTAGTCTGTCAGTTTATAAAGAGATGACACTCAAGTATGTATAGAGTGTTTTATCATTTTGTGTTCTAACTTGCCTGCACCGGGAACTCAAAGGTGACCACAATGCATCTGAAAGGATCATGGCCGCCCAGGAGCACAAGCAAAAACAAGCACCCCTCTTCTCATGCCCTCCTTGGGTTTAAAAAATATTGCTCCCACTCATACTGGGTAGAATTAAAATACCAGAATATGAAAATTCAGGCATTGCAGACCACCATGGCTGAATGAGCAGAAGAATTGTTATAATTACCTGTGTTACAATCATAATCCTGTACAAGAGACTGGCATGAAACCTGAAGTTTGCCTTATAAGATTGAAACACGGCAATCAGTAAGTGCCGCCAACATGAAGGCTTTTCTCTCCTCTCCTCTTACTTTACATGCGTGCCAAACTGAGAAAATGCCTTATTCCTCTTTCTGGAGAGTGGGTGTGAATACAAATAGGTCAGCAGCAGCAGCAGCAGCAGAACCCCCCCCCCCCCAAATCAGTGCAGGCAGCAACAGCAGCAGAGACGGCGTGACGTTGTGGGAGAGCGTACTGCCACCAAGCCTGGAGCTGCCTTTCAGAACGAACACAACTCACAGCGCTGCTCCCTGTTCATCTTCCTCCTCCCCCGCTGCTTTCACCCCTCTAGCACTCTCACAGACAACACAACGGCAGCACAGAGCAGAGTGTGAGGAGCTGCTGAATGAGGAGGGTGAGAGGCGGAAAGTGTAAAGGGGAAAAAAAGGGACAGAGGCACACAGGGGGGAGGGAAGTTAACACGAGAACATGTGAATCAAAGGGGAAGAGCGAGAGGAAACAGGGATCAGCATGGAAATGGACGAAAAGCTGAACAAACAGAGATGTAAGGCTTTTGCATCATCCGGAGAAGATCCCCATCTATCCACTGCTGCTTTGATATACGACAAGCGAGGATGGCAAAAGAGCCTGGGCTGCAACTAACTGTCAACTACTGACCCTTTCTCCCTTCGGCCAAAGACAACAGCAGCGCAGCACTGTTAGCATCAAGCCTCTGGGGACAATGCGCCAAGACAGATGGAGAGACCGCAACACTGGAGCTCTGACACATGTTCTGCCTGTGCACGCATGCATGTCGTAGACAGCTATGAGTTGCTTCAAGCGGACTAATTTTCCCAGTATTTCTGAGTACAGCCACATGTAGGTTGGATTTAAAGAAGAAGGATTTGTCAATCGTTGTAAAGGATTGTAATTCATCACATTCAGAAACGATCGATGCCAGAAATTAAAAAGTACTTAGATTAAAACAGGTGAGTTTATGCTATGAATGCTTAAAATGCTACGCTATGCTGAATAAATTCATGCTGCAAAAATACATCAGATGTAAGGTGTACCGTACAGGATGTGAAGGGTGTGCCTTTATCCGTTTCTATTTCTGTTCAGAAACCACAGTAGTCTTTTCAGTTCTTCTATGAGCTTTCACAAACACCTCTTTGTCTTGTCGGGGTCCGTAGGGTAGTGTGTAATTCAGTAATAACTGAGAGAACACACTCCACTTCAGGGTGCCAGCAGCCCTGAAACATAGGCTGTTCCTCTTTAACAATACCTCATCTGGATACTGTTCAAAAGCAATGTAGAGTTGAGACAACAAAAACCATTCTGTTCATTCTTGTTCCCAAAGCAATACAAATTATTCCTTCAAACAAATACAGATTACAAGTATACTTTCTAGTCAGCTAGTTTATTTCCTATTAAGTGAGATTTATTCTATTCTATTTTTCTAGTGATTACAGTGATCGGGTTAAGCTAACTTTTGGCTAAAATAATTTTAAAAAATTATTTAAAAAACCCACTGTAATGAATTATGCTAGCTAGCTGGCTCGTTTGTTAATAGTCTGTCTTTAAAATGATAGATGAATACACCCTGTTTATTAAACTCCGTACATTGACTGGGAGGTGATTCCAGCTCTCTGTGACAGGTATCCGACCGTCTGATACCTGTCACAGAGAGCTTCATTAAATAGCAAGGAAGCAGAATCCAGAATCCCAAATCCATTATACAATTATTTACTTTACTTATTCTAACACCAGAAGAGGAAGAGAATTGAGACAGCTGGAGTGCAGCCCAAGTGTCAGTGTGAGTTTCCCACCAATGCGTTACTTTCACAGCCAGCACGTGGTGTAAGCAGCAAATGTAATTGTGCTCATAGAGAGCGCTTTGCTGGCATATTACTATTGGCATCAGAAAGTGACTGCTTACTGACCAACAAAAACCTGTTCCAAAATCAATGGCACTGTATTTTTCTGATATTTAAAGGGTGCATTATTCTGATGGCAAGATGCTCCCCATTAAGAGAGACACTGTGTGCATTTACGCATAAGGCACAGCAACGTCACTTCATTGATTATTTGATTCAACCGACAGGATAGATCAAGATGCACTGACATCAGCCTCTCTAATCATTAAAGTAAATCATTAAACAAAACCTGGAAGATAGAGATGTGACTCACTACCAGTTCATTATAGTTAATAATGCAGTGAGGATTTCAACGTTTCACAGAGGAGACGGGCGTATATAACGCCTATAGAGCCGCACCATTTCTCACTGTCTGCAATGTAGTTCTTACACTTCACTGATACACCACAGAACTGTAGAGTGACAAAGTTTATATAACACATCAACACTTCCGTCATAATCACACACTCCCTCTCACTCGTCCACATGAGCTCTCTTTCTCTCTGCTGCGATTCTGCATCACACTTATACTGAATTATGTTTATAATGAGCCATTAATCCACATTTTAAAAAGCAATGCCCCAGGTACAGGCGCACCTGGCTTTTAAAAAGTAATGGGATACCATTTGGTTTGATTCATGTTACGCCCAGAACACACCTATAAATGATTAAGAGACAAAGTACAACGATTATCCGTGTTCGTCACAAAGAGTTATATCTTTCACATACATGTGGTTATTTCCTCTGTTGTCACTTTAAACTACATCTTTAGTGAGACTAATGTCTCACTTGCACTGCATAGTATGGCACGGCTCGATTCAATTCTCTTTTTTGGTTTTCTGCACTCTAATGTACGATTTCCGCAACTCGTTCTCCAAAACAAAGTTGGTCTCCTTGCCTACATTGAGGGGTTTACTATCTGCATTGGAAAATGAAATTGAGAAAAGTACCAAAGGTTAGTCGGACCGAGCTGTGCCGTACCATGCAGTGGAAATTAGGTTTGTGTGACATGTGTCTGTTATTGCTCAAATACAGTATATCCTCTCTTCTGTTTTCTAGGCAATCACTAGATATGAAACATCAGGGCAGCTTGTCAGACAACAACAAAATGATGAGATATCAATATTGGGTTCCTTAAGCGACTCATCAGATACACTTCACTGCCTCCAGGGATCAAGGCCTGGTCAGAAGCTGCTGACAATTGGCCTTACAAATGTGACTGAGCGAATTAATCAAACCATGAAGTGGAGACGACGCCACTGCTGTACACATACAGCTAAACTTATCTATCTCCTCTCACTGTTGGGAGTACTGGTCTTCCTGGTTCAACAGGTGTGGCTGCCTAGGCTCACAGGTATGCCATGGAGGCGAGGCAATCCTGTGGTGTACGGAGGTGGAGAACTTCATACCACCAAAGTCAAATCGAACATGAGCGCCCAACAATCAGTGTGGAGGTTTGTCAATCCTCAGCCGACTTTCAATGCTGATGCTAACATCAGCTCCCATGAAAAGGAAGGTGCCCCCTCTCCTCGGGAAGACCCAAGTTTTGAGCACACTTTGGCAGCCACTGTACAGGGAGAACTTGGCAGCACTATAACCCATGGGCCTTTTACTTATATCATCAACGAGCCAGACAAATGTGCCGAGAGCAGACCTGCGCCATTTCTGGTGTTGTTGATAGCCACTGAGGCTCGGCAGGTAGAGGCAAGAAATGCAATACGGCAGACATGGGGGAATGAGAGTGTGGCTCCAGGTCTGGGATTCATCCGACTATTTCTGCTGGGGGAAAATGAGGGAGAGCTGGGACTTCTGCAGCAGAGGATGCTAGAAGCAGAGAGCCGGAGGCATCATGATATCATTCAACAGGGGTTTATGGATTCCTACAAAAACCTGACCATTAAGACATTGATGGGAATGAACTGGGTGGCAATTCACTGCCCACGAGCCAGCTATGTCATGAAGACGGACAGCGACATGTTCGTCAACACAGAGTACCTCATTAACAAGTTGCTCAGGCCAGAAATGAAGCCTAAAAAAAACTACTTCACAGGCAATAACATGAGAGGCTTTGCGCCAAACCGAAATAAAAACAGCAAGTGGTACATGCCGCCTGAATTGTATCCAAGTGATAAGTATCCAACCTTCTGCTCTGGGACTGGTTACGTCTTCTCTGGAGACTTGGCAACAAAAATCTATCGAGCATCGCTAAGTATCAGTCACCTGCATCTGGAGGATGTGTACGTGGGAATATGCCTGGCCAAGCTCCGGATCGAGCCCACTCCTCCACCCAATGCATTCCTATTCAACCACTGGCGGGTATCTTACTCCAGCTGCAAGTACAGCCAGTTGATAACATCACATGGGTTTCATCCCAATGAACTACTTAAATACTGGCATCACCTGCAGAGCAACAAACGTAACGCCTGTATAAACACATTGAAAGCGAGAATAGGCAGGACACACTAAAACAGAATGAACGGAGACAAAACCAGCTCAACAACTGAGAAGTTCGCATTCTCTTTTTACAAGCGCTTTGTTAGATACAAATAATGATTTATATTTCACCACATTCTCTGAGAACTCAAAAGAAATTCTGCATAGATGTTGTTTTGATTAAGTGCTCTAAAATGATGCCAATTTTGTACAAAATAGTTTGAATGTGTGAGTCAAGCCACTGGAGAGTTTTTTTTTTACAAAATATGCTGTGTTACAAAAGCTACTTTTTGGATTAATGTAAGATCTACTGTATGTGTTTTATATATGCAGCGTCAACAGGGTACAGTACCAATAAACATTTCCACATGTGTTTCAAATAGTTAGTGAAGAGAGACTGAGACTGTTGCAGATTGACAAATGTGGGACAAGCCCCATTGTTATGTACCATAATACAATATATGCTTTTATGAAAATTACACTTGGGAAAAGTACATTTGAGGACATAGGGCCGGATTTACTAGCATCCCGAATAATGAGTACTAAATTGTGTGTGCATTCTAAAATAATGCACGTGCAATTGTAGTATCTGTTATGGGTGATTAACTAACAATTATTGCGTAGGTGACAACAGGCGTAAACACAATGGAGGTGGCAGTATTTAAATGAGGGTTTTGCGCGTTTTAATGGTTTCCGCCATGGCGAATCAGGTCGGAAAGCAGCCTCCACTTGGTTTGTTTCATTCAGTGTGTCCCTAGTATGTGGAAATTGTATGTACCTTCCCATCCTTTGTAAGATTGCACTAAGTACTTGGCACAGCACACCTGAAAAACTGCTTTGGGAAACTCCAGCAGAAACAGATACAGTATGCTGCAATGACCCACATGGAGGAAAGACCAGCAGACCGTGATCTCCTGGCCCTGTACGCCTCATTCCCTCTCAGATACCTACAATCGGTTGTGTCATTATTACGACCAGCGTGCTGTGAACAGTTGGTGATCGTTCCCTCTGGCTGGATGAATTGTACGCACTACTGCAGCCGTGGGCTCGCCGCAGCGAGCAAAGAAGTCAGGTCGAAATGAAATATGCTTTATTGGCATTAATGTTAATACAACAGTATCGCCAAAGCTAAAGGAAAATAAAAATAAATAAATAAATTCTATTCATATAGTTCATCGAATACATAAAAGAAAAATAATTTTTTTTCTATATATTGGATATACAATAATATTGTCTAATATTGCAAATTTATCTACGTCTTCTTTCATTATAGCTGTGTCTCCTTCTCGCAACGACAACAGCAGCCATCTCTGCGCAATAGTTGTTGTTTTTCACCTTCCTTTCAAACGTAAGACAGATGCTGTTACACTTACATTAAATTGCTTTTAGGCTTGTTAGATCACATTGCGTATAATAAATAAAAGGTATTTGCATGTTACCCTCCCATTACTTTGCACAATAAAATTGAAACACCCCAAATTGCATATTCATTAAGGCAAAAGTAGCAAATGAACAACAACAGGTGCTATCTTGCACTTTTGAAAGATGTCATTCTCCATGTACACTGTTAGTAGACCTACTTATGTGTTAATTTGCTGGAGATCTCAAGTTTGCATACGTTTTTGCAAACCTTTCAGTAAGTCTGGCCCTTAATGTAGCAGAAAAGGTTACCCTTATTACTTCAGTGGAGGTACTGTCTCCTGATTCTCTTTGAGATGGTAAAATGGAAAATTATTTAACTACTTGAAAAACAGTGTGAGAGAGTACCAAGTGAGCGGTGCTGAGTGTCATTACATGGCAATAATCACAGGCATCCTCATCAGAAAGTAAGGCAGTGAATAGCTGCTGCTTTTGCGAACGTGTGCAAAGTAAAAATCACATGCAGTGTAGCTCTGGAATTAGTCTTCTTACAATCCCATCAGCAAACAGCAGAGCTTTGATCTTACCGTCACTGACTTCAGGGTCATGCCATGGTAGGTGCCCATAGTGTCGATCTTGAATCCCTCCGTTTCTGGAAAGAAAGAAAATTTTAGATAGATAGATCGAGAGAGAGACACAAGAAGTTGCAGATTTCTGGCAATGAATTATTAATTCTTACACTTAATTTCTCCTCCTCAAGGTAAACTCACAATGTAATCTGTGTGCACCTATATTATATGCATTAATTAATATATGGGGTAAAAGTCATGGTGTAAATCAAATCTACATTTTGAAGTGTTCCTTTATTACCACACGCTCAACTCACCCTCTTTCCCTTTGAATCGCTCCTGATCGTATCTGTTATAGGCAGCGGGGACAGGCTGCTTGTTCCTAAGGGACGGGTCCTAGAAACAACACAAAACAATTACCTACTGTGGTTACAGTATCTGTCAGTTCACTGCTTAGTCAAAACCATTGCCGTCATTTATAGACTTGCTGCTGCTTTAATGCGTTAAATAACTACTGACCTTTTCTACACAACCTTCCAGATAATTTCAATCTTGATTTATTTGAGAAAAAAAGAGTGTGTGAGGAAACGCAGCGATTGACTTGTTTCTCCTAGTCATGCCCTATTAGTATACTTCCTTGACACATTGAGGAAACTGTACTCTATATATATATATATATATATATATATATATATATATATATATATATATATATATATATATATATATATATATATATATATATATATATATATATATATATATATATATATATATATATATTCATTCTTACCACTTGAGTTGTGTTTTGTGCTGGTCTCTGTTCTGGTGCTCGCCCTTCTTCTCTGGCTTTCACTGACTGAAGGATGGCAAAGATGTTCTTGGAGAAGTTCTGCAGAGGAGCAACACATAAGGATGAAATGAGTTCAACACCCTCGCCCAAATTTTTTTTTGCCCTTCTCATAATTTGGCAATAAGTGAAATACATCAAGGTTTCAGGGTCGCTAGCTAAAGACTAGATTTAAACAGATAAACCATGTGAAATTGTCCTGGGATAGTTTTAAAAACACATTTAAAAGGGGCGTCCTGAATAGTAATTACTATGTACTTTCAAGTTGCCCATTTAAAACATCACATTGCATTACCTTATGAAGGGCCAAAACAGAGAGGAAAATTATTAATTAAGAAATGTAGCCACCCACATTAGATTTGGAAAGTTATTTATATTCTGCCAGTATAATTAAAATAAAGCCAATCAAAACTATAATGGGTTTCAGATGAGCATGTCAGTCCTTTAGTGTAATATATTATACTATATTTTGAGAGTAAATACACACACAGAATGAAAAAAATGCAATTGCTGCCATCTAGTGGTAGAGATTTATTATTACCTTGCTACACAAAGTATTTTCACACAGACTGTTTGGAATTTTAACACACAAGGCTATTGTCCTAGATAGTTCAGCAGGTTTGGTAAAATAGGACAGCTGCTTTTGAACTCGGGTATGTACAGTAAAATGGTCTTGAGTAAAGCTCCAAATAGTGGTCTGAAATTTGTTTCTAGCAAGCCCCGGTCCAGTCCATACAGTCTAAACCAATGAATTCACCATTGTCAAAATCACAAAATATATGGTAAAAGTCTACATCAGTACTCAAGCTTTTCAAAAAGAAGCAGTGCTGCATTAAAAAAAAGTGCCAATGACTGCTTTTCATTGCTTTTTTGTGGCTGCAGAACAAAAACGCTAAAATGGACCTTTCTTAACATCCCACGGGCGGTCAGGTCGTGTCAGCAGCTTTCGGTATGTGCACACAGCTGCAATGTTAACTTCATACTCCTATGTTACACCGTTTGAAAGCTAAAATCCTCGTGATTCGACTAGTGCAAACCATTTCAAGATACGATCACCACAGCAGGTACAATCAGCGCCTCTGTCAGACCAAGCAGTGCAATCAAAATTGACGCGACTCACCTATGAAGCGTCATAGTAATCCACCAATCGATTATATTCCAACAAAAATGGTCTTGTTACGTTGTCAAAGGTCCAGATGATCCAATCCAGTAAAAATATTTAGTCGAAAACACATGTATTCCATCAATAAATCCCCAGGAATCATTTCATATTTGCCGGCAGACATGGCTCGTACGTCATAACCGTAATAACTCCGATAAAAAACAACAATATCTTAATATTATCTGAACAAAATCTGAACTCTGACCTTTCGAGTGACACCAAATCTGACAGGAGCTGCTCACATGTCCGTTTTACAGCCTAAAACACCCAACGAGAGCCTGCGCTCTAAGGAAGGGCCAGCCTCTATTATTTTGTGGGAAGGCCGAGCCAATTGCAACCAATTGTGTCGATGACTGGCACTTTGTGAAGCCAATAAAATTCTGAAAATAACGATATCCAGCTTTAAGTAGGAAGTTCATGATCTATCAGCAAAAAACACATCTGCGTCGAGCTACCGGCTGATACAAAGCGATGCAGCAGCAGCTGCTGGCCGCCATGGGCCAGTGCTGTTTTAGAAAAAATACGCTAAGACATACACTAAGAAAAACCTGTGTAAAATAGTAATTTTTCATGGTATTGGTATGAAATTTTAACCTGGACTAGGTAAGAGTAACTTTATGATGTGCCCCTCCAGCTAATAAGTCCCAGCTGTAGTTGTCTGCATCCATTTGTCAGCAAGTATTTTCAAGCGGAAACAAAAAATATTAGTTTTAGTGTGTTTAAACTTATATTGATCAATTCCAGTAGCACTAACAATCATTCTGACTTTTGGGTTAGACACTCCAGAGTGTTATCATTCAGAGAAGCCCAAAACCATGCATGTACTCCAAATGGTTCAAGAACTACATTCAATTTGCTTTGGATATGCCCTGAATAGGAGTTTAGCATTAATTTTACAGCAATGTTAAGAGGTTAATCCCTAAATAAAGGGTGTTGTGCCAAAACTTGCCAAAAGGGGTCCATAAGATCGACATAAGGAGCGAAGAGAGGCTATTTTCACGCAACATATTGTGGGACGTGCGGTCAGTATCATTAAAAGCAAAAAACCCTCCCCCACACACACCAGATAAGGTGGGAAGCTATGTCCTGCTTGAATCATGGTAATTCAGTGCAGCCTGAGTGGGACTAAGAGTCTGATCTTAAGTCAAAGTGAGTGAAGTTCATGATATTGCACTGCTACATTTCCATAGTGATGACAATAGCATGCATGCTGCCATCTTTGTTAAAGTCAATTCGTGATGAATCATCCTCATTCAGCAATCATCCATCGACAATAGCCTAATATTATGCGTGATCCATGGTGATGAAGACAGAGAAAAACAGAAACGCATAGCAAAAAAAGAACATATCATCACTATTTTAAGGCCTTTTTACAGGGGGTTTTCCTCTCAAGGAGTTTAGGCATTAGCTTACATTAGCTGGCTATGCGAGAGTCTTCATTTTGGCTGACAAAATCCATGGTCATCAGCTAGAAATGAGATCCTGCTTTTGTTTAGGTCTCTGTGGAATCTAAGACTTAGTGTTTAAAAAAAAATTACTATTTAGCAATTTTCTCTGTTAAAGACGAATGTAACGATTGTCTGGCATTGCAATAGTAACTAGGGAGGGCAAGGTTTAGTGAAGGATCAATTCATAGTTTTCACGTGACGACACATTCCAAAGAAAACGCTCCCTTGGAGGGCAAAAAAAAGATAACCAGGAAGCAAGTAATACACTGTTACTTTGAGTGCTGGATGGTTGTTTCGTGTTGCGTATCGAAGAGGAGACAAGCTTGGGCTGTGTTAGGCCAATCAGATATGCCCAACACTTGCATTTTGTGTTCATATCTTTCTTTTACTTAAGTTGAAAGGTGATCCAAATAAAATTTGACTGCTTTTGGTGTTAGTCTGTTGTTTTGCCCTCCAGGTTACCGCGCATGTCACGTGACTGAAAACTGTGACTTAAAGGGGTACTTTGCAATTCTTATCCAATACACTTTGTTAAATTCGGCAAATATTTGCTTTTCGGTTAGTAGCTCTCTGTTTTTCGTGTGCTCAGAAAAAATATCCGGTTTTCCTAAGCAGCCCTGGGTTGGTAAATTGAGCACAAACAAAGCTGCTCGAAGCGAGCAGCAGGGGGCGGTGGCGCGCTCAAAGCAGTCGGAGACAGAATGTAAACAAACAGCGGTATGTTCCAACGTGCTGGACTTATTACGGGACTCTAGCTGTGAAGATGACTGAGAAACAGCCACAAAGGGAAAGGTCTGAGGAATTGTGAAAGAAGTTATATGACCAGGTGAGGGGAAGACCTGTGTTAACATCTGTGAGGGGTTTCAGTGCTGGATAAATCTGAGAGATTAGAAAGGAATGAAAATCAGTGCTGAGGTTGCTCTGTTTCTGCTTTACAGGTGAGTAGGCTAACGTTAGCTTTGCTGTTCCACATAAACGACAGGTTCAGTATTACAGTCTTGTCTGTCTGTTGTCATGTTTGTGATGATCCCAGCTGGTTAGCTTAGCCGCAGCGGTCAGTATGTGTGTGGTAGAGGAGAAACAGAC